GCAGTGGGCGTCAGGGATACTTCAGGTGGAAGGAGGACATCTGCGCCTTCATCGGACGACACTGGAGCTTCCTCCTGGGCACCAGGTCAGACCCTCCTCTAGACCAGTTAGAATCCTCCTTTAGACCGGTTAGGATCCTCCTCTAGACCAGTTGGATCCTGGTTAAGTCCGTGTGTAGTCCGGTTGTGATCCTGGTTAAGTCCGTGTGTAGTCCGGTTGTGATCCTGGTTAAGTCCGTGTGTAGTCCAGTTGTGATCCTGGTCAAGTCCGTCTGTAGTCCGGTTGTGATCCTGGTTTCAGGAAGAGGACCTCGACGTGGTGGAGCACGGTGGCGGGGTGTCTGTCCGTGGGGAGTCCGGCGTTCTTCCGGTCGGGGGCGCAGGAGTTCGGGGAGCCGGGCTGGTGGAAACTGGTCCATAACCGCCCCCCCACCCTGAGACCCGAGGCCGACAAGAGCGGCCCCCCCAAGACCAAAGGTGAGACCTGCACTACACACAGACCCAGTCAGGTCCTAACGACCTGTGACCTCTGACCTGTGACCCGTGACCTGTGACCTGTGACCTGTGTCTCTCAGCCGTGCGGCCGTGCACCGACCCCACCATCACGGTGGAGGGTCTGAGGCGCCGCGGCGGCGAGACGCCCGTGGAGAAGGCCATTCAGCTGAAGGAGAAACGCAGCCGGACGCAAGAGGCCAAAGACATCCGCCGCGCCCAGAGAGACCACGCCCCCAAAGCCCCCAAGCCCGCCCCCAAAGCTCCTAAGCCCGCCCCCAAACGCGGCGCCCTGGACAAACCCGAACTCATGGACCTGTCCTCCATCAGCTCGTCCGACCGCACGCCGCTCACAAGCCCCTCCCCCTCCCCCAGCCTGCTGTCCGAGGCCGACCTCATCCCTGACGCCATGCCGCCGCAGGCGCTCTTCCACGGTAAGACCCCGCCCCCGGCGTCGCTGGGTTGGCGTACGGTTTGTTTATGTTCTCGTGTTGACGGCGTCGCCGGGTTGGCGTCGCCGGACGGTTTGTTTGCGAATGGTGGACAACGACCCATTTTTTTCTCTCGTCTTTTCTCTCGTGTCTCAGACGATGAGGAGGCGGAGCCGGAGTCCGTCATCGACCCCGGGATGGAGTACGTCCCGCCCAGCTCTGCTCTGATTGGTCGAAAGAAGGCCCGCCCCCTCGCGTCCGCTCCCATCAAACGGGAGGCGGAGAGCGAGGACGAGGACACGCCCCCCTGCGCCAACGACGCCAACGAGCGCCGCAAACAGACAGTCCGATCGGAGCCGGCGCCTCCGGGGGGCGGAGCCTCACGCGGCGCTCGCTGCGTCGCCATCGGTCCGTACGAGGAGCGGCTGTTACTGCGGCGACTGGAGGCGTGTCCGTTAGCGTTGGCGGTGACGCCGAGCGCCAAACGCCTGCGCAGGAAACTGTTGGTGCGACAGGAGAAGAGGAGCAGAGGGCTCCCCCTGCTGGACGTGGACAGAGCCGCCAACGCCGCCCTGAGCCTGGTGAGGACTGAACCGGGACTGAACCGGGATTAAACCAGGACTGAACCGGGACTAAACTGGGACTGAACCAGGACTTAACCGGGACTGAACCGGGACTAAATCGGGACTAAATGGTAATCTGGTTTGGTTCCAGTTCAGTTTTTTGCTTTTCCTGTGGCAGGTGGGCGGAGTCTACAGTGCTCAGGTGGGCGGAGTCTACAGCATGCATGTGGGCGGGGCCACGCACAGAGTGACCAATGGTGATGCTCGGATCCTCGACAGGTTCCAGGTGAGACTTGAGCTCAGACGTGTTCAGATCAAGTCTTGGAAACGTTTTGAAATTTTTAGGGCCGGACTCGTTAACTTTGTGTTAACTTTACGTAAACTTTGCGTTAACTTTGCATTAACTTTACGTAAACTTTGTGTTAACTTTACGTAAACTTTGCGTTAACTTTACGTAAACTTTGTGTTAACTTTACGTAAACTTTGTGTTAACTTTACGTAAACTTTGCAGTTAACTTTACGTAAACTTTGCATTAACTTTACGTAAACTTTGCATTAACTTTACGTAAACTTTGCGTTAACTTTACGTAAACTTTGCGTTAACTAATTTATTATTGCTGACAATTATTTTTCTCCTGTTAACTTTTCTTACTTATTTTTTTATTGTGAACGTCTGTTTCTCACTGGTTTTGATTTTGGAAAAGTCCATCGTGAGCGAGTCTAGGATGTTGCTTTGTTCTTAGGTTCTTTTTGCAGACCAAGAGTTTGTTTGTCGTATCTTTTCGACTGCTCGTTAGCGTTGAGCTGCAGGTGGCGCTGTCGTTCTGCCTCCACCGGGAGGAAGACGGCGCCAAAACCTGTTTACATCATCTGAGCGACACGTCACAGAAACATCACGTGACTCTGAGGACGAGTCTGAGGACGAGTCTGAGGACGAGTCTGAGGACGAGTCTGAGGACGAGTCTGAGGACGAGTCTGAGGACGAGTCTGAGGACGAGCGAGTGAGAAGTCGAAAGGTTTGAAAAACAAACTCTTGGTCTGAAAAAACCAAGAACATCAAATATCAGATGACCAGATGAACCTGATTGGACTGTAGAATGTTATAGAATGTTGTAGAATGAATGTTGTAGAATGTTGTAGAATGTTTCTGCTGCGGCGTCGCAGGAAACACAGAGAAACACAGAGAAGTTTGAGGAACTTTTACACTCACATTTTCTATTTAAATTTCTTCAGACGACACAGAGTCAGAAAACTGAAACATCAGCGCAACTTCACCAATGAACCTGAAACGAACACACACACACACAACACACATACAACACACACTCAACACACTCAACACACACGACACACTCTGATCCAAGTGTGTGTTTGTGTGTGTGTTGTATGTGTGTGTGTATTGTGTGCATGTGTGTGTGTATTGTGTGCATGTGTGTGTGTGTGTGTGTGTGTGTGTGTGTGTGTGTGTGTGTGTGTGTGTGTGTAGAGTGTGTGTTGTGTTCCTCGTCCTCAGACTCTGGCGTCGGTTTCGTTCTTTCATCGTGTGATGGGCTCAGACTCCGCCCACAACCAGAGCGTCCGCAGCCCCTACACGGCCCGCCTCCTCAAGCCCTACATCAGGTCTGGACCAGGACTGGACTAGAAACTAGAACAGGACTAGAACAGGACTAGACCAGGACTGAACCAGGACTAAACCGGGACCAGACCGGGACTGAACCGGAACTGAACCAGGATTAGAACAGGACTGAACCGGGACTAAACCGGGACTGAACCGGGACTAGGACTGGACCGGGACTGAACTGGGACTAGGACTGGACCGGGACTGAACCGGGACTGAACCGGGACTGAACCGGGACTGAACCGGGACTGAACCAGGACTGAACCAGTGCTCCATGAACAATGAACTTATTTAAAGATATTGTCATTTTTGAATCTTTATAAATGCAAATGTGACTCGTGGGGACCTTGGGGGAGACCTGGTGCAGGACAGGGGCAGCAGGACAGGGGCGGCAGGACAGGGGCGGCAGGACAGGGGCGGCAGGACAGGGGCGGCAGGACAGGGGCGGCAGGACAGGGGCGGCCTGTCAGATGGTGTATTTGAAGATCTTGTCGGAGCAGGTCCAGGGTTTTGTAGGTGGATCTGGTTTATGGATGTAGAAGAGAAAAACTCTGTCCACACCTCACAGCCCCAGGGTCCAGACTGAGGACCAGTCCAGATGTTCTGAGGGTCCAGCAGGTGGTCTAGATGATACAGATCTCTGGAAGAGAGGTCCCAATGTTTTTTCCTGCTGTTTGTGCCACCTGCCGGAGCGCCGCCCGCCAGAGCTGCCGCTGATCGGCCTCAGTGCAGCTGGAGAACCGCCCTAGGACTAACCCTAACCCTAACTCTGCTGAGGGTCAGCTGTAGAAGTTCACATGAGCTGTTGTGACCCTGGTGCTCCTCAGGTCCCTCAGGTCCCTCAGGTCCCTCAGGTCAGGTCATAGAGCTCAGGACAGGTTCTGAGTCACAGTCACCCCCAAGAATCAAAAGAGTGTCACCCCCTCTACCACCCGGTCTAGTCCCGGTCTAACCCCGGTCTTGTCCTGGTCTTGTCCCGGTCTTGTCCAGGCGGGACTACGAGACTCGTCCTCTGAAGATCCGGGTTCTTTCGGAGATTCGAGCCTTCGGTCGCAGTAAAGACCCGGACTGGACCCCGGAGCCGGACTGTCCCATCGACTACTGCTACGTGAGACCCGCCCACATCCGCCCGCTCAACGCCCTGTGCCACGACGCCTTCTGGCCCGGTAACACCCGTCCCTGCCCACACTCGTCCCTCACACTCGTCCCTCACACTCAGACTCGTCCATCACAATCAGACTCGTCCCTCACACTCGTCTGTCACACTCGTCCCTCACACCCGTCCCTGCCCACCCTCGTCCCTCACACCCATCCCCGCCCACCCTCATCTAGAGGTGAGATCGGGCCTAAAAAATCCAGCCCGACCCGACCCGGCCCGCGGGTATTAAAACCCGACCCGGCCCAAGCCCGACCAATTAACTTGATTTGCAGGCCCGAGCCCGAAGCAAACCCGAAATGTCATATTTTATTTGTGACTCGGGAGGAGGAGCAGTGCTCAGCGTCGAGGTGTCAGTCTTTTTGCTCTCGTATGAAAGCAAAGCGCCACATTGACGACATTCAGCGAAGCCAACGCAAGTTTCTGTAGCATTTTCAACAATCAATTTGAAGCTTTTCCACACCTCACTCTTACCGGTGCGTGTTTGTCTTTTCAGTTCTCCTGCCTTTAGTTGAACTTCTTGCTCCTCCATATTGGGGACACCAGGTCAAAATAGATGCAGACTTGCGGAGGGGAAGATGATTAAATGAAGAGGGGGCGTTCACGTGATCCTGTTTAGTAGTTAAATAGCAATTACATTACATTACTATTATTATTTATTTTATAACAAGTATTCCTTAGTTTAGTATCCACACATCGTTTTAGCAAACATTTTATAAACAGATATTTTTTTGAAGCCATTTCGGGTCGGGTCGGGCTTGGGCTCGGTCTTAAGATCTTACCTCTACCCTCGTCCCTCACACTCCTCCCTCACACTCCTCCCTCACACTCCTCCCTCACACTCACACTCGTCCGTCACACTCACACTCGTCCGTCACACTCGTCCCTCGTCCCTCACACTCCTCCCTCACACTCCTCCCTCACACTCACACTCGTCCGTCACACTCGTCCCTCGTCCCTCACACTCCTCCCTCACACTCGTTCCTCACACTCACACTCGTTCCTCACACTCACACTCGTCCGTCACACTCGTCCCTCGTCCCTCACACTCACACTCGTCCCTCACACTCACACTCGTCCCTCACACTCACACTCGTCCCTCACACACTCGTCCCTCACACACTCGTCCGTCACTCTCGTCCGTCACACTCGTCCCTCACACACTCGTCCGTCACTCTCGTCCGTCACTCTCGTCCGTCACTCTCGTCCCTCACACTCGTCAGTCACTCTCGCCCGTCACACTCACTCTCGTCCCTCACACACTCGTCCGTCACTCTCGTCCCTCACACTCGTCAGTCACTCTCGCCCGTCACACTCGTCCGTCACTCTCGCCCGTCACACTCACTCTCGTCCGTCACACTCACACTTGTCCCTCACACACTCGTCCGTCACACTCGTCCATCACACTCACACTCGTCCGTCACACTCGTCCCTCACACTCCTCCCTCACTCTCGTCCCTCACACTCGTTCCTCACACTCACACTCGTCCCTCACACTGGTCCGTCACACTCGTCCCTCGTCCCTCACACTCGTCGCTCACACTCGTCGCTCACACTCGTCGCTCACACTCACACTCGTCCCTCACACTGGTCCGTCACACTCGTCCCTCGTCCCTCACACTGGTCCGTCACACTCGTCCCTCGTCCCTCACACTCACACTCGTCCCTCACACTCACACTCGTACTCTCGTCCGTCACTCTCGTCCGTCACACACTCGTCACACTCGTCCCTCACACACTCGTCCCTCACACTCGTCAGTCACTCTCGCCCGTCACTCTCGTCCGTCACACTCGTCCCTCACACTCACACTCGTCCGTCACACTCGTCCCTCACACTCACACTCGTCCCTCACACACTCGTCCGTCACACTCCTCCCTCACACACTCGTCCGTCACACTCGTCCGTCACACTCGTCCCTCACACTCGTCAGTCACTCTCGCCCGTCACACTCGTCCCTCACACTCGTCCGTCACACTCACACTCGTCCGTCACACTCACACTCGTCCGTCACACTCACACTTGTCCGTCACACTCACACTCGTCCCTCACACACTCGTCCGTCACACTCACACTCGTCCGTCACACTCGTCCGTCACACACTCGTCCGTCACACTCGTCCCTCACACTCACACTCGTCCGTCACACTCGGCCCTCACACTCTCGGCCCTCACACTCGGCCCTCACACTCGGCCCTCACACTCGGCCCTCACACTCGCCCCTCACTCTCGTCCGTCACACTCGTCCCTCACTCTCGTCCCTCACACTCGTCACTTACACACTCGTCCGTCACACTCGTCCCTCACTCTCGTCCCTCACACTCGGCCCTCACACTCGGCACTTACACACTCGGCCCTCACACACTCGTCCGTCACACTCGTCCCTCACTCTCGTCCCTCACCACTCGTCCCTCACACTTGTCACTTACACACTCGTCCCTCACACACTCGTCCGTCACACTCGTCCCTCACACTCGTCCCTCACCCTCGTCCCTGACCCTCGTCCGTCACACTCGTCCGTCACCCTCGTCCCTCACCCTCGTCCCTCACTCTCGTCCGTCACTCTCTCGTCACCCTCTCCGTCACACTCGTCCGTCACACTCGTCACACTCACCTCGTCCCTCACACTCGTCACGTCACACACTCACTCGTCCCTCACACTCGTCCTCACACACTCGTCCCTCACCCTCGTCCCTGACCCTCGTCCGTCACACTCGTCCGTCACCCTCGTCCGTCACCCTCGTCCGTCACCCTCGTCCGTCACCCTCGTCCGTCACACTCGTCCCTCACCCTCGTCCCTCACCTCGTCCCTCGTCCCTCACACTCGTCCCTCACCCTCGTCCCTCACACTCGTCCCTCACCCTCGTCCCTCACTCTGGTCCTCGTGTGTCCTGCAGGGGTGGACCTGAGCGAGTGCCTGCAGTACCCGGACTTCACGGTGGTGGCGCTCTATAAAAAGGTGGTGGTGGGTTTCGGGGTCATGGTCCCGGACGTGAAGTACAACCAGGCCTACATCTCCTTCCTCCTGGTCCACCCCGAGTGGAGACGAGCCGGGATCGGGACCTTCATGATCTACCACCTCATCCAGGTACTGAACCGGGACTGGACCGGGACTGGACCGGGACTGGACCGGGACTAGACCGGGACTAGACCGGGACTAGACTGGGACTAGACTGGGACTGGACCAGGACTAGTGTTGGGTGTAACGTACCATATTTTCCGCACTATAGATTGCGCTCTTAAG